TTGAGGTCTCTGATCTCCACGTGCCTTGGGAGAAACACCATGGTATGCCAACCACCAGGACATGAACCAAATGTTGGGAGACCTATGCTATAAGCCCACTTTGTTTGTGTGTCCTTTTATAACTTTGAGCAGGATACCTGGCTTTTCTAAGCCTTAATTCTTCTGTCATTTAATGTAGGGGCTTGGTTAGATGACCTGGAAGACATCTTCCAACGCTGTATCTGTCTAATATGGCTAAAGAGTCTGTTGCTCAGAGGGAAGAAGTTATGCTGCACTAGCAAACCCCAGCCTCTCCACCTCTGTGTAATAGTTCTCTCTCGGGCTGCCACAGGCCCCTGCTACTTACTGTTTTGCCATCTGGAACATGTGGTCTCCTGGGTAACATACAAATGAAAATGACAGCTAGAGAATCGTGCATGGGATTTCCAGCGACTCTGTTCAGAAGTGACATATGTCATTTCTACTGTGTGTTGTCTAGAAGCCCTGGTAGTAAGGTAGGATGAAGAGAAGTGTCAGAAAGAAGAATCATGTTCTCAGAAGAGGGAAGACCTGGATGCTGGCGAATCCTAGTAATGTTCACATCACTTGTCCTCCATCAATGACAAAGATTTTTTTCCAAATGCTTCATAAACAGCTTTAGCACCATTTTAAGAGCAGTGGAGAAAATGCTACCATATCCATTTTACCACTGTGTTTAAAGCTGACCAATATATGCAAAGTCACAGTGCTGCCTAATGTTTAGAGCAGGACTAGATTCTTTGTCTCTTGTTCTCCACTTCCTACTAATGAAAAGAATTCCAAGTTTCCCTACCAGAAGATTTACAATGTGGCTGTTCATTGCATTGACAAGCACCACAGCTCCTTAAGCCTCTAGGTGGGATTAATAAAAGCCTAGACCTGAGCTGGCTGAGATGGCCCAGTTGGTGAAAGCGCTTGCCACCAAGCCTGACAACCTGAGTTCGATCCCTGAGACCCACGTAGTAGAAGGAGAAAGCAAACTCCACAAGCTGTCTCTCTCTCTCTCTCTCTCTCTCTCTCTCTCTATTCATTTATAACCCCCAGGCCATAGGATGCTGCAGCCTAAACTCAGGATGAGTTTTCTTTCCTCACTTAATCTTTGGGAAACCCTTGCAGACATACCCAAAGGTGTCTCCTAGGTGATTCTAAATTCAGTCACTTTGATAAAGGTTAAGCACCACAGACACACAAGATCTACAGGCTCTATTGATCACCTCTGTGCTCACAGCTAATCTTCAGTGCCTCTCTCTCTCTCTCTCTCTCTCTCTCTCTCTCATTAATCATTTAAAAGAAAATAAAAATCATAGGTCTACCTTACAATTTCCTTGGGAAGATTAAAGGAGATAATCAAAGGGCAATCACCTATCACAGAGTAAAGCAAACATTATGTAAACACTACATCTGTTATGGCCACTTAATTACACTCCAGCAAGGGCAAGCTGTTCAAAGACGCAAATCATCTATTTTTAAATCCTAGAGCCAGAGCACTCTGCACATAGAAATTCTCCATCGATATTAAAAATTAGCCAGAAACAGAACAAATTTTGTTAGAAGCCATTAGTATGGAAACGAATTCTTTGGCGGTCAGGCAGGAGTTCATTTTCCCAGCCCCTGGTAAAGCGCCCAGTACCCAGAACCGTGCAGAAGCTCAGAGCACGGTATGCTAAAGACTAGATGAAGTGCACGAATCAACGTGGGCCGTGGTACTATTACCTTTGTTCCTTTTGGGTGATGGAAAGCAGCAAGAGAGAAAAAGAGGGAAGGGGGGGTCAGTAAAGGCTGAACATAGGGTGAAAATTCAGTACAGGGTAGCGGTGTGTTGTTGATGTGAAGAATTGTGTGACCGGGTTTCTTAGAAGGTAAGAAAATAAATCCCCAGAGATGGGAGAGCATAGAGTTCAGCCCCACACTGACCGCAAGGGAAGTACAAAGACAGATGGAAAGGGGTGCAGGAGGGTGTAAGAAGAAAAGCCAGGATTGTTTAGGAAAAAGGGGGACACAGTCCCTGCCCCCCTTCTCTGACCATGACCTGCATTGGGCTCAAAGTTCGTCTCCTGAGGCAAAGACCTCAACTTCAAAAACAGCCAGAATGATCACCACTGGGCCACAGGCTCCTTCAATCAAGTGACCTTGCTTGCTTGTCTCCATGGTAACAGCTCACGTCCCAAACTGTTCCTTCCTGTGTGGGAGGAAACATTTCAGAAAGAGTGGAAGGCAGGATTTAACCCTGGGTTTTCTTTTATGACCCTTCTCCTTTCGCAAATTGTGTTCCTTGTGAGTATTTCAGTCTCCAGAGGAACGCTCCCGCAGAAGAGGCTGTTTCTGGGACTATTTGGAGGCGCATGCTCAGGACGCAGTTTTAAAAGGAGGAGAAACCCAAACGGCTCTGGCCTTGGTTTAACAAGGTTCTGGGTGTTCCTCAGCACCTCACCATTCCCCTGATGAACAGCTTCCTAAAGATCTGGACCACCCTGCTGTTGCCATGTTGAAAGAGAAGTTAGGGAGGTTGGAGAGCTACCCCAATCTACAGAGCACGCAGTAGCAGTCAGGCTAGCAGGTCAGACAGGACAAGACTGGATGACTACCAGCCTCCTTCACACATGCTCTGTCCCCCAGCAGTCCAGCCCTAGCCCGGACCACCACCCACCAACACCCCACGACCCCCAGCCACCTCTCTGGAGCTGACTGCCATGTCTGCCCCAGCTCTGGCCTCTGCCTCCAGTCAGTCCCTGGGCCCATGGTGTATCCTGCAATTTTCTCCAGCCCAAAACCCCGACTTTGAGGTTGGGGTATGGAGCAAAAGTATGCTGTGTCTAAACGTGGAGTTCAAGTTACATTTTAAGTTCAGTGCTCTGCCTGTTCCATAGCATCTAGGGTCAGAGCAGCGTTTCACAGATGATAAATGACCTTTCTTCAGCTGAGCCGTGGAAGAGCACGTCTTACCACAAACCCTCCAATCACAGCTCCAAATGCGCCATGGGGCTCACTTTCCAACCAGGACTGCGAGCCAACGGCACTCAACCCTTGGCTCGACTTCAGCTCTTCCCGATAATTTTGATCCCATGATTCTGTCCCCGGAACCTTTTTTTCTGCTGCATCCCTGCCTGTCTCTGACGTACAAAGGTGTAATTAGAACAGCATGGAGCCGGTAGGACGATCCATTTACCTCATCCTGCAACATTTACGTGCTTTTAAAATATGTTTCTAATATCTGAGGTGCACAGGGCCAGATTCCCTTAGCAGTTCTTCACATGCATGAGTAAATCTACAGACGAAACCCCTTGGGCCTTAGGTTCTGCTTAGAAGTTCTTTTTCTTTTTTTTAAAGAAAACAAATATTCCATTAAAACTACATAGTGTACTCTGCATATTTTTAGGACAATTAGAGTTTAGAATTCCCTCTTCTTCCGCCCATGGTAAGAAAAAAGTTTTCCTTAACTACTTCCTTACCAAAAGTGACTAGAAGCTGGGATAAATTGCAGGGTTTTCTTGTGTTTTAACATAGTTTTTTCATGGCGTATTGTCAACATATCAGCTGGTGGATTGCAGTCCTTGCTACATTATTCTAGAAAGACCCAGCTCCCCTACTCCATTGCCAGATAAATCCTTTTCAGGTCATTATTTGCAAACCTGTGGAAACATTTACTTGAAATAGAAAAATCAAACTCACAAGAAACAAAGACACATTAAAAGTAAGGAGATTTTTTTCCACTGTCTGCTTGGTTTAAAAAATGGTCACAAGTTTTGGTCATTTTTCTTAAGCGCTTCTGACTGCATAAATAAATTTAAAAAGGAGAGGCTGCACAGACTTGCCTTGTCTCAGCCTGCGAGACAGCAATATAGGAAGACTAAGAGGGAGAGACCCAGAAGTCATTCTTAACCAGGAGGAGACCAGACGGGGAGAAGGGCAGACAACCCCAGCTGCGGGCCGTGTGTTTGATGGCATTTGTAAGTCTGTACTCTTGTTCCTACAGCAACACCCTGCCCGATAAGCTTGTGTTGCCGGGGCCACACATGTGGATGACGTTTGCCAAGTCAGCATGCAAATCAAATGTTTTCTTGCGACCAAATTTGGAGAGACATCTTAGCAGCGCTTGCCAAGCCACTTACACTCAAGGCCAAAAGCTCCCCAGCCTTTGCAGAAGGTGATGTAAGACTATCCTCAGCTTGTTTTCCACTCACTGTGACGATCAAAGCACAGCGAAGGATGGAAAAGGTGCACCGCTCACCTGGTGGCAAAAGACATGCGTTCAGGGAAGTGTGACTTCAGAAATGAATAGAATCCAGCGATGACGTGGAACCTATGGTTATCGTATCACTGGAACATAGAATTATATGAATATTGAAGGATTAAAGAAACATGAATTCCCAGGGAAAATGTGTTTATTTAAATTAAAAAATATAGTGGCAGTTACAAACTATTAAATACAAAAGACAACTGTGTACAACTCAGTAGAGTAAGAAGGAAGTATATACATCGCTTTTTAACAGGCGCAGACAGACTTGCACCAAACATCAGGATCGAGCAATGGAAAATGTGACAGCGCACATGTCCGTCGCAGTAAAGTTTCAGAATTCAAGTGATTCCAGGCAAGAGGCCAAACTGAACTTGGCTTCTTTCAACTTAAATGGCCCCCTTTGGAGTCAATCCACATTTTGAATCTTAAAGTGAACAGAGGGCCCCTTTCCCCCTCAAACATAAATTTCCTCTACCTCTGTGTCAAAGCAGACTGATAAGCCAGCTCCTAAATTATTAACCCTCCGTGGTAACAGAAGTTACTGCTATGTCTTCAATCTATGGAGAGTTATGTTAAATTTAGAAAAAATGAAAAAGGTTTGGGCCGGGCGTGGTGGCGCACGCCTTTAATCCCAGCACTTGGGAGGCAGAGGCAGGCAGATCTTTGTGAGTTCGGGGCCAGCCTGGTCCACATAGTGAGTTCCAGGACAGCTGGGGCTACAAGGAGACCCTGTCTCAAAAAAAAAAAAAAAAAAAAAAAAGACAAAAAAAAAATGTCAAAGGTTTTTCACTACAGTTAAACTTGACCCTTTGGGGGTATTCAGCTTCCTTCTTGTCTTGGGGTGAAGGAGGGTAAAGAATCTGCTACAAACTACTGCCCACATAGAGATGTTGGCAAGCAGGCCTAAGCATCTCCCTTCAGACTTCTCTTTCCTTCAGCTGGGGGCGTTGACATCCCACCATCCACAGAGCTTTGCAGAGAAAACTATGCTGTCTGCCTCACTGACTCCATCCTAGGAAAGCTACAGCAAGAATGGCTGGTGCTTAGCCCCAAATTCCCCAGTTACATGTCTGCAGAGTCTCCAGCTGTGCCTTTAAATCACCAGATCCTTTTCCAGACTAACTGGCCAAAGGGGAAATATCTGGTCCAAAATTCCTCACACCAGGCCAGTGGAGGATTTATCACACAGTCCGAAGTCTAAAGATGTCCTCCCAACCCCCTGGGGCTGCACAGTCTCGGGAGCCTCATGATGACAAGCCCAGGACCACACAGCAATGAGCATCAGCATCAAGAAGCAGAGAACTTGGATCCCAGCTCTGCGCAATCTCTACCGGAGCATGCCTTTCTAGGTCTCCGCTACGTGACAAAATCCCACATTGTGTGGCCCATATACGTCCTCCCCTGACTGAAAACTAAGCTGGGAAAAAGCGCAATAATAAAGCCATCAGTTTGACCCTGCTCAACCCCACCATTAACCCTTCTGTAAAGGTCAGGAGGACCACACTGCACAGCCACCCTGAGTGCAGGCTTGACGCTGGGAAAGCTCACCGACCAATAGGAAGCCACGCCCAGCTGCTCTGCTGAACAGTCCCAAGGCAGAGTTCAAGCCCACAGGTGAGACAAATGATCAAAAGAGATCATCACTTATAACCCCAGCTAATGTGAACAGATGTAGACACTGATTTCTTTCCTTCCATTCTACAAACCAACTGGGTTCTATCTCCAGCTTTCCTCCATTAAAAATTCTCCATCCAATTTTCTCCCTTCTGATTCAAAAGAAGTATGTAACCCCCTCTGTGACCAAATGCCACAGGTACAGTAAAAATACTTACAGCCAATCAGATCTAGAAGAACAAAGCGCTAGGCAAATTAACAAATCAAAACTAGTCCCTCAGCCTGCCCTGGGCAGTTGTCAACCCTGGGCACAGGCAGATGCTGCAGAAGTTACCCAGGGCATCCAGTGAAAAAACGACTAGCACAGTATGCAGCCAGATGCTGAACCCCAACACCCAGGTCCCAGAGTAAACGGACATGCCGTATGTCTCTGGGGCAGTGGTGGGTCCAAACCACAGGAACCATGAGGACTCCGGATGAGCCTTGTGTCTCCCTCCCCCGTTTGTGGGGGCTTGCCCACGGTCTTTTCAAAGTGACAGCTGCACGGCAAAAGTGAAACCAGGCACTTGGAAAGAGTCTTTCCTCTGTCTAAGGGTGCTAGTTGATGGCAGCCTGGGGGTGCTAGGAATTCTGATGGATGTTTTCTGAAGACCCTTCACTGCTGTCATTGAGTGGCGTCTCAGAGGTCTCCTCCAGCTCATCGTCAGCCCCCTCTTCCTGGATGGTGAGGTGCACGTCGGGAGAGGACGACTCAGAACTCACGCTGTCACCTTCCATAGAGCAGAGGGTGCAGGATAGGGCGGGCGCCACACTCTCTTGCAGCATGTTCAGCATCATGGGCACCTGCACTGACCTCAGGCCTGACATCATGGGCAGCGGCTTCATGGCCTCCCCCCACAACCTCTCCTCATCTTTGTACAGCAGCAGGAGGCTGGACTTCTTCTCCCGCCTCTTGGATTTCATGTAGCCCAGCATGATTCCAATCAAGAAAATGCCGTAGAAGGACATGACAACCAGAATATAGAAGTATTCGTTGCTGTTGCTAGGCGCATGGGACTCAAGGGGGCTGCTGGAGGCCGCAGTACTGGGGTGTGTGCTGTTCAGAGGGTCCATCCTCAGCATTGAAGTGGGGCTCACACAGCCGAGGTCTGGAGAGAAAGCTACAGGTTAGACCTTCCATCTATCCACAGTACAAGCAAGAGAGCAAGCACAGGGCTCACGGAGTTGCAATATATCAAAATAGGTTTATAAAGAACACAAATGAAAGAATTCGCGGTAGGTTTGAGGTCCCATCAAACAGTTAACAGGGCTTAGCTACGAGAGCTTGGAGCAAGTAGGAAGGAAATCAGGGGAGGGGGTATGGGAAAAGTTAGAAAAACTTTCACTTTATACATACATACATGCATACATAGATAAGTCTGCCTCATTTGCATTTCAGAAAATAATGATGTATTACTTCTATACTTAAAAATATATATCATATAAAACAGGGATGCACAAAATAAATATTATATTAAAATTTGACAGAGATGCATAAAAGTAAATAATATATTAAAATTTGAGAGGCATGCTTTAACTGACAGGACAGAAGCAAGGTTTACATTTTGCTTCAAAAACTTAAAGTTTTTTAAAATTTAAAGCAACGTTTCCTTGGAAGTAAATAAAACAAGAAAACTTTCTCTACTAATAGTTAGAAATACTTTTTCACATGTTTCTGAAGCAAAGGAGCATTGCCAACTTACCAAAGGCTGACAGTTTGTCTCAAGTGTGGAATTCTAAATCGCTGAGTCTGAGGACGTTTTTCTCCTGTGTCGGGCTCTGTGCACTGACAGCCCCGCTGCTGTCGTTGGGATATATAGTCAAGAAATGCATCGTCACGTGTTCCGGGAGGAAAATTTACAACAGAAGTTGACTGTGGCGGAGCGAGCAGTGAACTCAAAGCACTGCAGTTCAACTCTCTGAACTTTGCAGCTGTGAAAAGAGACTGGGAAGGAGAAAAGGCTTGCTTCTCCTGCACCACTGCAGAGTCAGAGACCAGGTGGCCATGAAAATGTGTGAAAAGACACGCACAGAACATGCTGAGTTGCAACTGTCACCCCCAAGTTCACTCTTAGTGCAAAGAGTTTACATTTCATTTCCCTCCCCTCCCCAAATAATCATTAGGTCATCTATAGGTTTTCACAATCAAATCCTAAAATCTGAATGAAAGGCGGTTGGAAACAAGCACAGAATTTACACTCAAGAAACTACAGCTTACATTTCAGTTCTTCCACTAACCAGGTGGACTGATAACCCTTCCTTAACCTTCCATGCCTCAGACTGCTGATCAGTAAATATCGATTAGCCCTGAACAGGCTGTTCAGCAAGCAGGGTTTTATGAACCATGTGAATTTTAAGTTCCTTTCTGCTTAACCACACTGACTTAAAGCTTTCTGGTACAGGTTAGTCCTTTAAAAGCACAGAGATTCTACTTGCCTTCCACACCAAGCTCACAGATATATTCTTTATAATCTCCTTTCTCATCTTCCATATCCAGGAGTCAATGTGCATCTCTAATCCCAGCAACTGAGTGCCTGAAGCAAAAGGATGACAAGTCCGAGGCCAGCCTGGGATATAACGCTAGACCCTGCATCAAAATAAAATTCTTCCAGATTCTTTCTACTGGATTGTGTGACACATGCTGGTGACAGATTATGAGGAGGTTTCGCTTGATTCTGCTGCACACAGCCACTCATTCCTCCAAAGCACAGACTGTTCACACATCTGTGTGTCTCAGGTAGGTCATGGGAGGAGCAGGCATTCCCCAGTGAGCCACCAACTACAGTTCAAATTCTGAACACCTGGTCAACCCCATGTTAAAACTCTGCTGTGCATCAGTGTAGCGGCTGTGATCTCAGCAGACCACCACAGTGCCAGGTCCTGGCCTCCCTCTGCCATAGGGACTGAGAATGCAGGGGACTGCCTGAGAGTGCCTGGATCCTGCCTCCACGTGGTGACAATAGTTATGCAATTTAGGAGTCTTTTAGATAGACCCACTGAAGGGGTACTCCAGTTGCCTCACCCTCTGTCCCTGTTCAGCATGGAAGAAGCCAGAGCGGTCGGCATCCCGGTTCCCTATCCGCAATTTGGGTAACCTCTTCAGAGGATGCGGTGATAAGAATAGGAGGTAAGAATTGGCTAGGCAGATGGGTAAAAAGACCCAAAAGAAAAGTAGCCAGTTTCTTGGCTAAAACTCACAATGTCCTTGGGCCTCTTAGCAACATACACCATTCCAAAGGCCAAAAATGTTGAAAGGACTTGGGAGCTTTTATCTAATCCTTAAAAGATTTTAGGGTTACCTCTTCAGATGGGGGAATGCAAGTGTCCCTCAGACTGTACAGAATAAATATGGCCTAGGTGCTGTGGCTTTCACTGTGCATCTGATTTGGTGCCTCTTGTTAATTCTAACAAGATGCCTGGAGAAAGAGGAGGATGTGAGCCCATGGTGCTGGCCTACTTACCTGATACTTTGGTCTCTGTTTACCCCATAAATCCTCAGCTGGCACTGAAGTATTACCTGCCACTAACCCCAACATCAAGGCTTTTCATACAATGAAACCTTACTCATACCAGAAAAGATATGCTCCCAGTTGTCCCAATCCTTCCAAACTCCTCTGCTACATGGTAGACCTAGCCCTTTCCATCCATACTCAATATAAGCATGGGCAAACTTTGTCTACACCTCAGCCTGTCGTAGGACATCTAGAAACATTAGAACAGGAAGACCCAGGAGAAGCACTCCTGCTGATGCTTATCATAGTATTGTTGATGGTGCACAATCAACAGACAAGACCAGCAGTCACTGGAGGATTTCCAGGCACTGCAAACTGGAAGCTTTGGGAGGCAAAGAGGATGGGGGAAAAAGGATCACCAGGTTCAGAGATCAGGGTGTACAAAGCCAGGTGCCAAAAAGTCAAGAGGCTGAGTATCAAGCAAAATTCATCCCAAACCTGAGCCTATAGCCCCAAAGCAATAAAACCAAGAAAAGGCCTGCCCTCTGGGACGTACCCACAAAGGAGTTCAAAGGACAAAGAAGCTAGAGACATTGGAAAAGCCAAATCCACTGATGGAATCTCATAAGAGTCAGAGTCTGACAAAACACCACCAGTGCCTGCCGCTGTCTCTGCAGTCTCTCGTGACCTTGGGCTCCCTGCACAGATGTTTCAATGCAAGGAAAGCATTGAGCACTGACAGGCAGAGAATGCATGACCAGTTGATGCATTTTGATGTCGTGGACGGGTGCTCCCTGGTGACCAAAGGCTTCTGGTTGCTTCCTGATACGTAGTTTTCTCTCTCTACTTTGGCTTGCCTCTCTTTCCTCTCTAATCTCCCTTCTCCTGGGAGCAGAACTTAAGATCTGGGCTTGCAAATCCATAACACCTAGCTCAGTCTTCTCTCCAGTCCTCCATCACAGCAGGATGGTGAGAGCTGTGGTGGTGCTAATAATGGGGACCATCTGGGGAGTGCGCTCTGTCAGGGGGAGGTGAGTTAATAATCACATTTGCTCTATGCGGCAGCTTCAAGAGACAGCAATGTCAAAGAAACAAATCTATGTTAAAAAAGACTTTCTTCTCGGTGGCTTACACTTAATTCCAGTGAACTCCAACTTTCCAAAAATTTTTTATGGTTGTCCCTTATGAATCTCGTCTAAGAAATGTTTACTTAAGCCAAGGCCCTGAAGATTTTCTTCCTTTTTTCTACTACAATTTTTATAGTTGGTTTATATGTTTAAACCTCTGATCTATTTCAAGTTAATTTTATTGTATAATATAAAGTACAGGTCCAGATTCTTGGGTGTATGTGGGCATGGAGGGTGCATGTGTGTGTTGTATGCATGTGTGCACGTGTGTGTGCTGGTGCACTCTACTGCAAACACATGTAGAGACCAGAGGTTGACATTAGGATGTCTTCCTCAATCTGTTCTTTACCTTATTTGGGGGATAGAGTCTCTCACTGAACTTGGATCTGGCTAGTCTGGCTAGTCTGGATGGCCAGTGAGCTCCTGGGATCTGCCTCTCTCTTTCCCCGATCCAGTACTAGGCTTTTTATGCAGATGTTGGGATCTGAACTCAGATCTTTGTGCTTATGAGGCAAGCGCTGTACCCACTAAGTCATCTCTCTAACCCAAGTTTCTTTTATTTAACACTTAGAAGCCCAGTTGCCCCAGCATTATTTGTTGAATTATTTTGAACTTTTGTTAAAAATCAATTAACCATACATGTCCAGGTCTACTTCTCAACTTTTTATTCTGCCCTTTAATGAAGTCATTTTAAGCTGGTTTTTTTTTTTTTTTCTCTCCATGTGGTTTTGGTGTTTTTCGTTTGTTTGTTTGTTTTTTGAGATAAGGTCTCCCTATAGGCCCAGCTGGCCTGAAACTCACTATGTAGACCAAACTGGTCTTGAACTCACAGAGATTCACCTGCCTCTGCTTCCTGAATGCTAGGATTAAAGGCATGCACCACCATGCCCACCTTAAGTTGGCATTTTTTATATATTTTTTTAAATTTTACATGCATGAGTGTATTGCCTGCATGTATGAAAGACTCATTTAAAATACCAAATGGAGGGGCTGGAGAGATGGCTCGGTGGTTAAGAGCACTGGCTACATGTATGAAAGTGCTCCCATGTATGCAATGCCCGTGGAGGTCAGAAGAGGCCATTGGATCCCTTGGAACTGGAGTTACCGACAGTTGCTAGCTACCGCATGGCTGCTGGGAATTGAACACGAGTCCTCTGTAAGAGCAGCCAGCACTCTTAACCACTGAGCCATCTCTCCAGCCCCTCCATTTGGCATTTTAAATGAGTCTGAGATGTGCTGCTACCAGTTTGTAGCTGGCATCTATTGTGTACCAGACTCACATCAATCCTGTGAGGTATTATCATAACCATTTCATTGAAATCTAGAATACTGACTTTCCCAAAGCTGTGCCACTAGTGGTAGAATCAGGAGTGTGTGTGTGTATGTGTGTGTGTGTGTGTCTGTGTCTGTGTGTGTGTGCCTGTGTGTGTGTATGCAATAGAGTGTGTATGTCCATGTGTACATATATGTGTGGTAGCCTCTGGCTATGTCGAGTGTCTTCCTCAATTGCTCTCCACCGTATTTTTTTTTACGAAAACTTTATTGAGAATTTCATACATGCATATAGGGTGTTTTGATCAAATCCATGCCCACTCCCTCCCTTCCAACGCCTCCCATATCTTCCCATCACTCTTTTCTTTTTTTTCTTCTTTCACTCATTTATTTTTATGGGGTTTTTGGGTACTCTAGCATTCCCCGCCTCTGAAGAGGTAACCCCTCACCCTGTGTCCCTGTTCAGCATGAAAGAAGCCAGAGCGGTCTGCATCCCTATTCCTTATTGGCAAGTTGGGTAACCCCTTCAGAGGATGGTGTGATAAGAATAGGAGGTAGGAATTGGCTAGGTAGTTAGGGTAAAAAGACCCCAAAGAAAAGTAGCCAGTTTCTTGGCTAAAAGTCAAAATGTCCTTGGGGCTCTTAGCAACATACTCTGTTCCAAAGGCCAAAAATGTCAAAAGTATTTGGAGCTTGTATCTAATCCACCATATTTTTTAAGACAAGATATCTCAATGAACACAGAGCTCATTGATTCAGCTAGACCGGTTGGCCAGCAAGCTCCAGGGATCCTCCTGTCTCTGCCCCCAAACACTGAGATTACAGATGTGCACCTTGGTACCTGGCTTTTCACATGAGTGCTGAGGATCATACTCAGGTCCTCATGCTCCTGTGGCAGCAGGCACTTTACCCAATGAGCTATCTCCCCAGCCTGTAGAATCAAGAATCAAACCCAGGTCTGTAAAGCTTCCAAATCCACTTCCTTCTATTTTCCTTTGTCTCACTGCATGGAAGCCAAAAAAGGAACCGAGAAAGAGTATAAAACAAAGGTTGGTATTTTTCCAACTTCTTTGGGGTCTTTATAAACTTTTTAA